AGAAAGAAAATTGAACAAGCTGAAAATTATGTTTGTTAAAAACACGAGTTTTTCTGAATTTGTTGTAAGTTATTGCAATAGGTACTTATTTTTGCAATTTTTCTCACTTTATTTATTTTACGTTACATTTTAAATTTTAATGCAAAAACTAAAGAATTTATAAACTTGAAACTACAAAGTTGTGAAGGAAAATCTACAAGGAGTACGATGAAATATAAAAAAAAATTAAGAATTGATTAGTAGTTCATGAATTATTAATTTGTCATTAAAAACTACCATACGCTTCAATCTACCGTCCTCTAGAATACAACTACCAAGTTGAAATTTGATTTGTTGAAAGGACCATCTCATTTATGAATTTAATAGATAGATTTATGAATTTAATAGACCATACGCTTCAATCTACCGTCCACTAGAATACAAATACCAAGTTGAAATTTGATTTGCTGAAAGGACCATCTCATTTATGAATTTAATAGATTAGTTATTTTTTCTCTTCAAAACTACAATTTATACGAAAGTTGTTCGAAATTTAAGTGCTTTATTCGCGATTTTTTTTCACTTTCTTTTGTTTCAAAGCAACTATTGTTGTAGAAAAATTCATTGCTCTTAACATTTCTATTTTATAAGCTCGCATTTTATCAAAGACAAAAATAACAGAAAAATGAATAAATAGAAGGAAAAATAGAAGAGAGAAACGTTAGATTTTGTCAGAAATAAATCTTAGCATTTCTATCGAAATGTTTTAAAATATAAAAGAACTATTTGAACTAATAAAACAGGTGAGGTCCGCCAGAAACACTAAGCTTTTGGAGACCGCTCAAAATTCTTTCAGCTTTTGAAAAGTAAACAATCGTTTGACAGTTGACTTTTCAAACGATCCAGTTTATAGTTTTCACGTGACGTCATTATTCTTTATTTAATTTTGATTCTTAGATCAATATTTTAAATAAATCTACAAAAAAATAGCAATAAAAAGTTAAAGTATTAAAATATACAATTCACGATTTTCAGAAACTTGGGGAACATTCTTATTGGTTGGATCGTTCTGCTGAGAATAAACTAATCACATTTTCAATTTCTAAATGTATATTTCACATGAATTTTTATTCGAATGAAAAAGTTATAATAAAATATACAGTCAGTGCAGCGTTGAATATATCTTGTATTAAAAAAAAATTTCGAACATTTTAATTTTAAAAAAAAAATGCTTATTTATAACAAAAAAGGAGTGATGCAATATTCCAATTTTTCTCTTCGCATTAAAAGCGATTAAACTTTTTTTGTCTGTTTTAGAATGACGGTGTCAGAACATTTAGCAGCGAGTCAGGAAAATGACCCTTTTACTTAAGGTTACCTTAATGTATCAAAATCGAGTACCATTAATTCTCATTCATTTCTTCTTATTGACCTTTAAATATTTTCTTACAAGTACAAGTTGATTAATTTAAAAAAATTTTTTTTTTATTTTTTTACGTTCAAAATATCACCAAAACGTTCTTACATTAAATTATAATTACATTTTTTATAAACAAAATGAACGAAATGAGAAAAAAATCATCGACTTTTGAGAAAAAAAGAAATGATGTTGAATCAATAATGATGTGATGTCAATCGGGGACGGTAGGTTGGCTATGTAGTAAAATAAGTAAAAGCCTTGCAAATTTTAACATAACTTAAAATATCTTTTTAATCCATTGTCCGCTATATCTACCTACCTACTTGCATGGCATACCTATACAGCAATGCAATTGAAAAATCAAAGTAAGTGACAAAGAATTCAAAATTGAGATTTTTATGTATTTGGCATCATTGTATGGCAAGCTACATACTGCAAAATATATTTTTTCAGAAGTAAATTTTGTTTTATCAGTTTTTTGAATTCGAAATTCTATTTTAGCATTAGTTATAGAAGGAAAATAATTGTCAAGCCACTTTTCTCGGAATCAAGCGTGAAGCACTCACGTTGTTTTTTTAAATTGCACGGCTGCTAAGTAATGCGCTTTCTGAAAAATATTTTATAGAATGGTAGACGATGACAAATTAGAGCTTTCACAATTTTCGGTAATTTTTTTTATTTAAAAAGCTTTATCACGAGATGACTGGAAAGAAAGTGGAGTTTCATATGAACTTTTGAATCATTAACATATAATTGCGTAGAAAATAACATTATATCAAATTTACTGAACTAAGAAGCATACGTTAAAACATAAACCGTCCTACAACTAAAGAAATTTTTCCACAAAGCGTAAAAAATTGACAGTTCGGGCTTTGATGAAATGTCATATCATAAATATTAAACGAACCGTGATGGGACTGTCGGAAAAGCACTCAGCTGTCATTGAAAAGATAGGGGTTCGATCACCAATGACGGTTTGAAGCCCACTAAGTTTCAAATCGATTGGTTCCCTCTTGTCTGGGTAATGAAGGTTGTTAGCATGTATCAGCAGCCGACCTCATAACTCCCATACATTTTGGCGTTGGGCAAAATGTATGGGAAGAAATTGTGAAGGTTTAACGTACTTGACCTCCCTGGTCTACTATGGATTGTAGCGGGAATACTATTTTTAAATATTTAATCGCATAAAATAAATTTTTAGAGTATAATTTCTTAAACTAATGCAGAATATTTACTATATAATAAGACGCTAATACTTTTAACACGGGATCGAAAGTAAAAAAAACATAATGCTTAATAAATAAATAATTTTAGCAGAAAATNGGACGTCTAGTTTCTGCCACACTAGATGGCAGAACCGAGACTCTATTTGGATGCTAAAGTACACTAGGAATTTAATTTTCCCGGAAATGCCAAGAGCCAATAAGACACTCCGGGGATCTTTTACATGCCGTATAATAATATGAGCAACATGGCCGTTGAGGATTTTCTGCATCCCGAAAATCCGGTGTCTGGGTCGGGGATCGAACCCGCAGACCTGGGCTCAGAAGGCCGACGACAAACCAACTGCGCGCCACCCAGCCTAATATAGAATATTTACTATATGATGAGACACTAATACTTTTAACATGGGATCGGAAGTAAAAAAACATAATGCTTAATAAATAAATAATTTTTGCAGAAAATTCTCCGTATATATTAAGTTCTTCAGAAAAATCATATCATTCACTCAAATGAATCAAAAATATTTTTAATACAGTTTTGAAATAAATAAAAGATCACCGTAATGTATCCCGGAAAAACATAATGGTATCAAACAGTTTTTCACAGTTGTCTACCCTTTTTAAAAGCCAGAAAAAAAAGCTTTTTTTTTTACGCTGCAAACAGCTAAAAGCCAACTTTCATATTCGCCTTGTCAGCTTCAGATTTTTATGTTTTCTATAATCTGTAAAAAAATTTGAGTGGCAAAAAAACTCTTTTGTCGTATTTCTAAAAGTGTTTTTATCTTATTTATTTTTATGTTAGAAAGAGTTATAAAAAGTTATGGAAAATAAAAAATTTACATTTCATTAAGCTACAAATTGGGCATGAACTCTTGCATCGCCTAACATCAACTTTTTCTAAAAAAATTTAAATTATATAATTTCATTTATTAACGTAATTAAATTCCAAACATATTTTTAATGTTGCATAAAGCAGTGCTTTTCCAATTTCTTGACCTCTGCTCATTCAAAAAATATTTTTATGTCCTACGTATGTATTATTAAATATAAAAAAATGGCGACTATAATTGATATATTTACACAAGCAAAGATATCCCCTCATCCAATTACTTTTTCTGTGAATTTTAAAGAAACATTTTCACTCTCAAATTTTTCTCAGCAAATATTTTGGAAAAGAAACGAGGAAATTTTTGAAGCAAGGCTTACAAAACAGTTCTTTTTCTGTCTTTCAATTTTTTTCAAGTATACAAAATAGATTACGATACATGATTCTAGCTACCGGACTAAAACTAAACTCCGCAACTCCTTTTTTTTGTTTGTGAATCGTAGTTTAATAAGATTTGCATGAAATATTAAACTAGAAAATGCTAAACATCTTCCAATTGATTGATTGATTGATATGAGTGGAATCTCGGTGTTAAGCGCGAAGCGCTTCTAACCGATTCATCTATACTGTTTTGGCATTTAGTCCAGAGGTCATATACAGTTCATAGTTCTAAGTTAGGATCAGATAATAAGTCCATGATGAGGTGAGGCATGAGTTGATTCAGTAGTACATCAGTTGTATGGGGAATTCCCCTGGATTAAAGTTGTGAGAAGATGCAGTACGTCTTGGTCCTTCAGCAAGTCTTTAAGTTCACAACATCTTCCAAAATATCAAATAATCTAATATTGGCATAAGATAAAATAAAAAAAACGGTAACATATATTTGTGAAACTCCCTGCGGGTGATTATGATTTTTGTAGATTAAACAAAATCTATAAGTTTAAGAACATTAAAACAGCTCAAATAATCCTATGTAAACAGACAAACTAGTTTCTGTTCTATAATGAAGAACCTTCTGTTGTGTTGGAACATGAAACTTTGGACAGTTTTCGACATTAAAGAATGTTCTTCATTATAGAACCGAAGCTATACTATGTTAATATGACATTATTCTTTCCTTTTCACATTAACTTTAAAATTAAAGAACATCAAAAGAGTGCAAATAATTCTACGTCCGCAGACGAACTATAGTTTCTGCTCAATAGTGAAGAACCTTCTACTGCGTCGGGACATAAAACTTTGTGTTTTGACTATGAAGAATGTTCTTCATTAGAGAACCGAAACTATAATATGTTAATTTGACAGTGTTCTTTCTTTTTCACGTTAACTTTATTCACATAAATCGCTAAGTTAACTTCGTCCTTATTTTAATGTGACGAAATAATTTTACTTTAAAAGAAAAAAATAAAATAGAAAAAAATTTTTTTTCAGAAATTATTTATTTTTGATTATATTTTCTACATATTTTAAAGCGAAAAAATGTCATAAGCTTGTTTTAAATCTTTTTAATGCTTAATAACAAAAAATATATATTTTGTCACTGAATAAATTATCTGTGGTAACTCTTATTTCCGTTTAATAGATCCAATTAAAGCTGCTTCTCTCTAACTAAAGTATCATTTTCTTCTTCAGAAACTTTATGAAACTGAAGGCTTATTTGTCTAATCATTTGCTTGTTCTGGTGAATCATCATTGTTGAGATTCTTTTGAGATGAAGGGCTTTGGTAAAAAGAATCCTCATTGTCCTTCTTGATGTGTGAAGCATCTTGATGAAAATAATCCTTATTGCCGTGATTGTTTTCGAAATCCGAACCCTCCGTCTGAATGTCACTTTCTATTTGACTAAAATCAGAGGCAGCTGTATAGTATGATGAGGCTGTATTTTTACCAGGTGATTCATTATTAGTAGTGAGAAGAGTTTTATTCAAATATTTCTGTGAGCTAGGGCATAATATTGAACTGAGACTTTTTTCATAATTCTTATGGTATGCATTGATGAACCGACGTCGAGCCTCGGACATCTTTTCAAGTCTTCCTAAAGAAGAGAGAGAGTATTAAAAATATGAAAATTCTGTGTAATTATGTTTTTATATGACTGGCAATTTGTGGAAGAAACTTTATTTTACTGGTAGCAACATAAACACAGAGTGTCTCGAAATTCTATGTACAAAATCAAAAGGGTGATAAAAATATTAAAAAAGTAAACAGTTAACATGGAATATGGGATAAACGATAAGTTTTGGTGCTTAAAAACACTCGGATTCATCGGAAGAACAATGGCAAATAGAGGAGGTTAAAGGCAAAAGTTTGTTTAGACGAAATACGTTTTTTGTTTGTTTGTCTGATTTTGTAAATTAAGATCAATCCAATCATTAGATAAACATTATTAATGGTTACTGGTAGCAACTAAACATTTACTGGTAGCAACATAAACACAGGGTGTCTCGAAATTCGATGTACAAAATCAAAAGGGTGATAAAAATATTTAAAAAAAAAATAGTTAACATAGGATATGGGATAAACGATAAGTTTTGGTGCTTAAAAACACTCGGATTCGTCGGAAGAACAATGGCAAATAGAGGAGGTTAAAGGCAAAAGTTTGTTTAGACGAAATACGTTTTTTGTCTGTTTGTCTGATTTTGTAAATTATGATCAATCCAATCATTAGATAAACATTATTAAGCTTCTATTTTTTATTTTGTATGCTGCACGTCTATTGCTTGCTCAAAATTATATTCTGGATGAGAAAAAAAATTTACAGGTGGAATTTTATTCTTACGCATCGCATTTGAGCACGCATTAGAATACTTTGAAATTTAAATACGGCGAAAATATTCCACTTCATTAACAATTCGCATTTTAGCTATCAAAAATTGTTACAATACGTGCTTTTAACTCGTAATACATTTCAATGAAAATAAAGAATTTGACTATGCTTACAGACTTAAATAATAAAAAGATGGTTTAGGCTAAATTTAAATCAGAAAATATTTCAACTTTAAACTAGTAAACAAACAGATTAAAAATGATTTATAGATACGAAAGCTTGTAGTAGAATAAATTCAGGAGCAGAAAGAAAACTTGCCATGCCCATATGAAGAATAATTAATATTTTTTTTTAAATTTGTGAAACTGAATAAATTAAGAGAAAGGAGTCAATGAGAATAATGGTGTTTTCATCAAAAACACTCCCAAGAGAAATTTGAAAAATGTGCCTTAACATTATATTGCCTAAAACCTTTCAAATGTATTTATTTTTTTAAACATAGTATTAAAACCATCAATAAAATAACTATGTTTGGACATAATAGCTCTTATAAACTGCTTGAGCTGTAAGCAAAACAACAATATTGCCAGGGTAAGAACCTTCATGGACAATAATTTATATGTAAATAAAGGATTATTTACTTAATCGATTTTATTTTTGATTATGTAAAACGCCTCGCAGAAATTAGAAATAAGTCAGTAGTATTTTTGAAAAATAGTACATGCAGATAAATCAAAATTCGATTAGTATAGACCAAAAATATTCTATTGCTTCTACTAATTTTGTTTTAATCTGTATTTTGATTATTGTTGTTATGTTTCCGGAGTGAATGATAGTGCTCCTTTTGACCACGAAATTCGTCTATTGGTTGAGTTAAATGATTTGTTGTGTCAATGAACAATCTCATGTGCAATCAAAAACTTTAATTTGTGATAAACATAAGTTATTTTTTGTACATAAATATGAATAAGTATGTTTTTATGCATTTATATTTGGTACAAAGATATTTCAGGTATTGTGAGATACATTTTCAGAAAACGTTTTTTAACAAAAGTAATCATTAATATGTATGTGTCACTTGATGGATTTATCCAGTTTTTAAGGTTTATTTTTATTTATTAAACTTGTTGTCCAACAAAATTACTTTTTCTTCGGAATATTTTTTTCATGGGATGCTTTGTTATGGTACCTGAAAATTCCCCTACTTTCTTCTTTACGTTTACTCTTTTTTTAAAGGGAAATGGGGGTGATCTGAGGGTGGAATCGAATTTCTTTTTTGGCAATTGCTTCTGATGTGAACAGGCAATTGTTTCTGATGCAATTTTTCACGCCGACTTAAATGAGACCAATCGTGAGACGACGATACTAATAGTTTAGAATAAAGGTTTAGAATAGTTTATACGGTTTTAAGTACAAACAAAATTTTGAATTTGTTCTTATTTACGTATCTGATATTGCATTCTAAAAAAACTAATTCATTGTTTCCTATGCATGTTTTTACACAACATGAGACTATGAACGAGTCAGTGGAAAAAATAGTTCAAAAGTTGTAAGAGTTTTTATGTATGAAAGTGTTTCTTTTGGCACGTATTATGTACCCGTACGTATTTATGTATTATACACTACATATTTATACATTGCCATCCAGAAACTATCTGAAGAAGTAAGGTATATTTTTCCCGATGTGAATTTTTACGTTAAATTAAATGAAACTAATCCCGAGACGAATATTTTAGAAGCTAAAAGCGTTTAATGTACAAAAAGGAAAAATTTTATACAGGCACTTATTTACACATCTTACATTTATATACAGGCAAGTGAAGTAATCGAATAAGACCAAACACAAATCCATAGGGCTAATATTTCAATTGTTAAAATGTTTTTGTGCAAAATCTACCATATTTTAATTGCACTCATTATGAAAAAAATACTATAACATCAAAACCATTTATCCTATAAATTCGCAGTTTACATCTTTCAATTTAATATAAAAAAATTTCATCGAAAAATCTGCTATATATGTTCAGGTGGCCCCAAGAAAGTGAAGTAAAAAGTCACTAAGTCGTGACAAAAATAGTACTTTTTATACATGGAAAGAATATAGATTCATTCGAATTAGCGTGAAAAATACATGTGAAACAATGCCTCACTTGTCTAGATAGCAATATCAGATGCATTCCTGTACAAATTAGTACTTTTTGTACGTGCAACCCTTATAACTTCTAAACTTTTAGTTTAATTGTATCTGTATTGATATCATTCAATTCAGCGTAAAAAATACATAGGAAACAATACTTCACTTGCCTGTTTAGTAAAAATTCGATTCTCTCTCTCAAATCATTTCCATTTCCCTCAAAAAAGGTGAGTAGAGACTAGAATTGGAGAGTTTTTAGATCATTTATAAAAATGCAACAAAGCTTTTTCTCAAAAAATATCTTGGTTATAAATTTTTCTGAAGAAAAACCCTTTTTTTTTAAGCTGTAATTATTGAACTACTGATATAGGAAAGACTTTCAAATATCTTTTAGATATTTGAAAGAGTTAAATGATAGATTGTTTCCCCCCTCTCCTGAGTTTCGTAAATGGGGGAACCCTGTCTTCTTTATTTGGTCATCAGTTTTTGACAGGGTAAAAATATTAAATAAAAAAGCAGGATGCAGCACAAAGAAAAGAAAAATTCATTTTTTCATTGATCATTAAACGGGGGAAAAGACATTGGAGGCTTAGGAGACATTGTAAGTAATATGCCGCACTCGTTATATCAAACTTTTAACTGTGTATTGTTCCCTATTATTTCATTTTGTAATATTAAATTAGTTTCAAAAGAAAATTTTCAAATTCGTTACACCGAACTTTTACTGTATATTGTTCCCTATTATTTCATTTTGTAATATTAAATTAGTTTTGAAAGAAAATTTTCAAATTCGTTATATCGAACTTTTACTGTATATTGTTCCCTATTATTTCATTTCGTAATATTACATTAGTTAAAAGAAAATTTTCAAATTCATTATATGGAACTTTTACTGTATATTGTTCCCTATTATTTCATTTTGTAATAATATTAAGTTAGTTTCAAAAGAAAATTTTCAAATTCGTTATATCGAACTTTTACTGTATATTGTAATATTACATTAAATAAAAGAAAATTTTCAAATTCATTATATCGAACTTTTACTGTATATTGTTCCCTATTATTTCATTTTGTAATAATATTAAATTAGTTTCAAAAGAAAATTTTCAAATTCGTTATATTGAACTTTTACTGTATACTGTTCCCTACTATTTCATTTTGTAATAATATTAAATTAGTTTCAAAAGAAAATTTTCAAATTCGTTATAGCGAACTTTTACTGTATATTGTTCCCTATTATTTAATTTTGTAATATTAAATTAGTTTCAAAAGAAAATTTTCAAATTCGTTACATCGAACTTTTACTGTAGATTGTTCCCTATTATTTCATTTTGTAATATTAAATTAGTTTCGAAAAAAAATTTTCCTGTGTTTATTCTTCATTAGATTTATTTTATCTGGTAAGAAAAAAACTTTTAAAAGCTCACAAATATTTTCTGCATATTTCTTCAATACAGATGATAATCCAAAAATTTATATTTTAAGCCAAAATACATTCTAAAAAATTTTAATATAAGCAGGGCATGTTAAAACGTGATAAATTTAATATCACTTAGTTTTTCGCAGTGACCTCTGGCGAAATGTTCTACAACAAAATATTATATGTAGAAAAGCCGTAAATCTGTCTACACTAAAAAATGAAGAAAAAAAATCTTCAAAGAAATATTTTTCCAGTAATTTTGACTAAATTTAAATTACATTTTAAAATGTCTAGACAGCATGAAATAAAAAATCTTGATACCATGTTGAGAGTAAACATAGTTCAAACTGTTGCTAAATCAACAGTTTCTTTTGTTTGAATAAATCATGAAAATGTGATAGGTTTCAGATTCGCTACATAGGTTTCATATCTGTCACAGTTATATAATGCTTTTTAAAGTTTGAATTTGAAACATAAAATACATTCTAAAACTTTGTAACACTGAGTCTATCGTCTAAGTCAACATATGAATATAACTATAATCCGTTTTTAATAGTACAGAAGAAATTCTCTCTTACTTTAAGATTAATTTGCAGCACGTATCATGAAAATAAGGAAAAAAAAAGTTTTTCCTAGAAGAAGTAGAACGTTTAACTAGAAATTAAATTGGATTACTAAATAGAATTAAAAAATATCAGCATCTTTTTGTGTTCGACAAATATTTGCTAGCTTTAATTAGATAGTTCTATTGACCTAGTGATAAAAACATGCACATTTCGTGAAAAGAATGTTATTTTAATAATTCGAAATAAATTTTAAATCGTGGAAAATTGCAGAAGGTGTAAAAAATAGAGTGTACCTAGCTGTACCACTCTTACTGGTACAATATTTTTCTCAGTGTACAATTGCATAAAAATTATTTAATGAAAACAAAGATTTTCTTGTCAAAACTTGTGCTCCTCTCTCCGTTATGTTCAAAATGTTTGGTGCCGCGATGGCTCAGGGGATAGAGCGTTCCCCTTCCCGTTAGGGGTTCCAATGAGGCGAACCGGGTTCGAATCCCAGTCGATACGAATTCCGCATTCGGCTTGCACCGACCTCAGTGCTGACGTGAAATATCCTCAGTGGTGGACGGAGTATGGGTGAGAGGCCCCTTGCCGTCAGGCTAACCGTGAGAGGCTCTCGTGTTTTTCCTCTCCATGTAACGCAAATGCGGGTTAGCTCCATCAAAAAGGTATCCACGAAGGCAAATTTCTCCCAATACTCGATCCAGGAGTTCCCTTGTCTTCTGGATTAGGTTCAAAAATTACAAGGCTACGGAGTTGAACATTAGTACCAATGCAAATTGGGTCGGCTGTTCAATGACGGTTATGAAATTATAAAATAAAATAAAATATTTGATGAGGGCCCCAAGAAATTCTGTGGGCTTTGTACTGATATTTGTCTAGAAGGGCTCCTGGCACTAGCGTGAATTAACTACCAATTTGAAGTTTCTTTCTAATACTGTTTTTCCTTTAATTTTTTTAAAATTACTAAACTTTATCAGATTTTTTTAAGTTATTAATTTAAAAACCCATGACTTGCAAAAAGCATTCTGACGTTTCCATACCTTGTGAAACTAATTTAATCAAATTCGCCTTAAAATGTCACTCAACATGTTTTTCAATTACGATCAACTATATTTATCAACTAACATATCTACTTTAATTTTTTTGCTCCATTACTTTATTCACAAATTTATATTGTGATTTTAACTATCACTACATACATATATCGGATAAGATGGTTTCCTTTTACTTTAATTACGATTTACGATGATTAATTACGATGATTTACTTTAATTTTTTTGCTCCATTACTTTATTCACAAATTTATATTGTGATTTTAACTATCACTACATACATATATCGGATAAGATGGTTTCCTTTTAAATGGAGTTCGTAAGGTTCTTAAAAATTTAAAATGGCGGCAGAAAAACAAAAATAAAATAAATGTAAGAAGATAAAATATATTCCATTACATTTATACTCACCACAACATTCGATATTAAGTTTCAATAAATCTAAATAACTGTTATGTTTCGAAATTTTAAAGTTAAAGATGACTTCATAATTACAATATTGGTGCTACGTTTTTTTCTTACTTTTTTTAAGGACAGCGTGGACCATGCTTTGAAGTATTAAAATACAGAAGTTTGCTACAACTAGCATCAGATTCTGATCAAAATAATAATTAAGACTCAAATGTAACACATTATACTTGTTGATATAAACTTATTTGGCTTCATAAAATATGAAAATGGTAACAAAAGTCGACATGTTTCATGTACTAAAATCTTCAATGGAGTTCCGTATTTTATTACAAGTAAAAAATTTTCCTGACTACCATAAGTCAGGAAAACCCAATAGAATTTATCCTCAATCAAAATAACACAAGATCCTAGTGCTCTCAGCTCACATCTCTTTAAAAACTCTGTATCTGGCGACAATACAAGTCTAATCATTTCCTGATTATTAAAAACAAAATTTATCAACATTTTATCGCCGAGGGTAATTTATTGTCAGTCAAAATTTTTAAATATTTCTGAGTAGTAAGTGTGTTTAGATTTTAATCGGAGTTAAGTGGATGGTAATATAAGTTTCAACTATTTCCTAATTACTAGAGGCAGACTTTATTACACTTTATCAACAATGAAAATTTATTGTTAATCAAAATTTGAAAAATGAGAATAATGAGAATGCTCAAATCTTCACTGGAGTTATTTATTTTATTACACATTTTAATTCTTTCCTAATTGCCATAAGCAGATTACCGAATAAAATTTATTTTTCATTCAAATACTGCAAGACACTGAAATATTAAATAAAGTGTCTGGTAGCAATTCAAGTCTCAATCGTTTACTGACCGACAAAAACATAATTTATCGACATATCACGAAAGGGAATTTATTGTCACTCAAAATTTCTAAATTTTTCTGAGTAGTAAGTGTTTTCAAATTTCAATCAGAGCTAGCTGCATAATATAAGTTTCAATAATTTCCTGACACTGGATGCAGAATTGATTGCATATTAACGACAAAGGAAATTTATGAACCAACAAATTTCGACTAGATGCAGATCTTGCTAGCGATCTTAAATTTTAACTGGATATCTGTGCTGGATAATAATACGATTTCTCAGAATAAAACAGAATTTATGTTGCCAATTTATCACCAAATGGAACTCCGTCCATCCTCCGTCAAAATTTCGATCATTTTCATACTAACAAAAGAACATAAATTACAAAAGAGTTCTATTTCAAAAACAAAGCAAGTTGTATATGTTTCCAAAGTGTTGAAAGCGAAATTTGAGTCTTTTTTCTGTACTTCAACTACTTCAACTGTACTTCAACAAAAATTTCAACTATTTTTTGGCGTAAACGATCGGAATCTAACTAAAACTGAGAAAACAACAACATTAAAAAAATTAGTTCTACATTGAATAAACTAAGCAGGAAAAAAAAGTAATTTTATTTTGTAAGACCTAAAACGAAATAGATATAGGACGTATCACTTCTAAACCTCAATTACTTTCAAAAATTCCCTACAAGTCATAAAAGTGATGCAGCCAGCGTTTTTAGTTTTATCTCTGACGGAAATAAATATTTTTTTCCCTTTTTGGTTGACTAAAATGAAGTATTTTTTTCGAGCTCCATCTTATTATTTCAAAATAATCTATGAGAAGATCTTACTGATTATATTTAATTGTAGCATAAGTTAACACGTTGAATGCCACGCTAATTTTACAAGACTAACCCGTCTCACCGGTGACCCCAGTGGAGCTACGAACAAACTCAGTGTCGGTCACCGGTGACCTGAATGGCATTCAACGTGTTAATTCTATCAATTCGAGTTTCAATGTAAGGTTGGAATCTAATGATTTACGTACTTCTTGTTCTCTCTTTGTAGTGCTTTTCTCGTAATTTCTTCTGTTCAAATAAAGTGGATGGTGCAAACCTTAATATCTTGTAAGAAGGCTCTGACATCTCGTCTAACCATTTGTTTAAAACCCTCAAGTCCTGTTTTAGCATCTAAAAGAAAATGTCTATTTGTAAATGAAGAGCTTAGTTCAAAGCGGTTCTATAAATGAGTTTCGGAAAAAAAAATGAATTTATCAATGATAGATAATATTTTAGTTTAATTTAACTATTCATAATTAATTAATTTTGATAAGTCTTTAAATTTCGCAGATATCAATGGATGAAGACATTTAGAAACAATCTTTAAATATTTTCAGAGCGGAAGAAGGTTCCAAGTGCCTAAATAAAGAGTCGAAGACAATCTCAGAAAACCTCTCTCTTGGCAACCAATTACAACGCTGAGTGGGAGAAAGCTCTGGCTCAAATAATTGAAATGCGTGATAGGAAATATATAGATTTCGTCGTTCAGATGCCCGTGAACGTAAAACAAAATCAAAGCTTTGTTTTATTTAGCTAAAGACTCAATACGTTAGGTGTACCTGAAAGTTCTGTCCAAATAGTTACTCATACTCATATGTGGTGGTTATCTTAGCATCAGCCCTGCGAGGGGCTCTAACTAATTCATCTGAGTGGGAATAAATAATAAACCGCCGAAGGGCAACTGAGTGGTGAAAGTTGGGGTTCAGTAACACTTACTGAGAGAAAATGAAAATGAAATCAGATTATTAATTTATACTCATTCAATAATATATAAGAAAATTATAAAAAAAGTGGTACGAATTTACCTACAAACTCAATGATAATGTTCTAGCTTAAAGTGAAATAGCATGCATAGCGCAAAAGAGCCTGTGCATACATATTTAAATATCAACTAATCAGTACATCTGATATATATATCTTAGGATAAAGAAGCGTTACCACTTTTTTTTATTATAACAGAGCCATTTTCACCGTTGTATATAGGGACATGTTCTTTCTCACCATTCAATTGCGCTTCGGCGGTTTATCATACATTCCCATTCAGATGAATTAGAGGCCCTCGCGGGGGCTAATGATAAGATAACTACAACATATGAGTGCAGGTTCTTTCTCGGACAGAGTTTTCTCCATATTCTTAATATGAAGTTAAAACAAACTATTTTACTACGTCTAATCCTATTGATGTCTGACTTCTCTTATGGGTTGGGTTCAAAATTAAAAACATACGGAGTTGAACATTGATAGTCGTTAACTCAAAATTGGGTAGGTTGATCAACGCCGGTTATAAAATATAAAATTTATATATAGACTCATTCACTTCAAATAATAAAGTTAATCGATTATTGGGATATCGTCTTATAAACTTGGAAAGATAGTAGCGAAAATTAGATCAAGCATATAAACACCAAAGTATTAAGCAGTATTTAAAAAGGTTTCTCTAAAACCTTAATAAAATTTCCACCACTTTTGCATTTTGCTATCAAAATTAAAATTTCTATGTCCTATGAAAACTCTGAAATAAATTTTGTAAACGTCATAATTAGTAAGTGACTAACAAATGACCTCAGTACTAAACTCATTTAAGATTGCTATTGCGGAAACGCAACATTTCAACTTAAAAACAAGCTTTTATGAAAAAGTGGTAAGGTATTAAGGTTTAAAGTAATCTCTGTTTTTAAAATACCGTTGCATAAATTCTCTCGTGTTCTCTGAATTGGGCGGGTCGAGGTATAAATAAACAATACCGTTGCATAAATTTAGATCAAAACAAAGAAAGTTCATAAGTGCGTTAGCCCTTAGATTAACTTCAAAGAGAAAAATCTATATTATCCACGAAAGTTTTTACATGCATAAATGTTTAACCACTAAGCCTTCATTTGATTAATTCATTTATTAATTAAATTTTGTGCAATGCCCCAAACCATAGTTTATTAATTCTGGTAAAGAATTCCGTAGCAAGCTCTAATTTTAGCCAGAACGAATGCTCAACGTTGTTTTTTGTTTATTACGTTGTTTTATTCAAAAATGTTTTATTTTAATTAATTCAGATTCCAAAGTTAAAACTGATTTTGATAACATGTTGCTGTTTCTAATGACACATGGACAAGCGGACCTGACCAACCATTGGTCTTGAGAATTAAGTCAGGAAGGAGAGCTTCTCATTCGACAAAAGTACACTAGTTGGGTAAAAGAGTGACTTAGTTGAGAAGTCTCCATGATAGATGATAACACCATTCATTTGTGAGGTCACTTCAATTTCGACATAGAAATATGAAAGAGGAAGAAATTCTCTTCAGATCCCCATGGTACAAGATCCCCATGGTTGATCTTCAGATCCCCATGGTTGGTACTGAGCTGCAGCTCAGTACCAACCATAGATTTTACGAGAACTCATTGGGTCTTAGCAGCTTTGAGAATCGTACCCCAGCTCCAGCAGACCGAAGTCGGATGCTCAAACCACTTGGCTACTACGGCAGCTATTTGAATATAAAATCTATAATTACATTTAACACTTTTGAAGGCCGTGGTAAGTATACTTACCACCACGTTTTACCACTTTTAATTTAGGTTTCCATTTTTCAATAACTTCAGCTTTCTTGAAGTGAGTTTGAATAAAATTGGTAACCATTTGTCACTTTGAAAAAACGTATAAAAGTTATAAAATAAATAATTCCTTTTGAAGTTTGTAGCATTTAAGGAATTTATTTTATAAATAAAGAAAAATAAAAGTCAGTAAGTTCCTAATAGGTCATGTTAAATATATTTACCACCAAAAAAAATGGCATTTTTATAAACTAAATGAGTTGTTTTTTATATCAATTACTGTTCTTAAAACAATTTCAATTCCAAAAATACTTTAATTTACCTTTACTAGAAATAAAGGGCCCATTAAAGAGTTAATCTAAATCTACGTACTTTCATTCTTTTTTCATCGGCAACAATTTGACGCTCCCAAAAAGTTTGATTTGGTTCCGATGGTCCTAAATATCTTAGTTTTATCTCGTCTGGTTCTTTTGACACTAAAAGCCCAGTGTCAGAAATTTCAAAATTCAAGCTAAAAAATATATAATTATACATACATTTTTACTTTTATATTGATGAAAATATTTTCTAAAGGGAAAATATTCTTGAACCTTTTTATAAACGGAACAAAACATACTACAAATGGATTTTCTTCTGGGATTTGAACTAAGTTAAGATTATGCAAATATTTATATCAGGCAAAATTTATTAACAAGGTTTATACAATGGTTGGTGCGTAGTATTAATAATAAAAAAGTGGGTGAGAAAATTGTAATATTCATCATTTTTGTGCAATATGCGTACTTTGATTTCAATTACATAATAGTTATTTCCATTACCTTATGAGGGATGTCAACTGACCCACTTGCTGCAAAAAATTTTAAGTTCTACAGAATTGAAAGTGCGTAGAATTTTATTTAATTTGCTGGCATTTTAAAAGTCACGCAACGAGATAACTCACACAATATAGAGCAGTGTTTCCCAACGTGGGGCCCACGCCCCACTGGGGGGCGATTTGATTGTTAAGGGGGGCAATTAGAAAATGAACTCAACACGAGTTTAACCCTTTTGCTCCGGGCCATTTAAATGCAATGCCAGATTTCGGCGCCAAAATTGAAAGAAAAAAATTTAATTTTAAATAATTGCGTCAATAAATATTATGTGACTTAGCGATTTTTTAAGCGACAAACCTGAAACGAAATATCTGTTTACGGTCGATGGTAAAGCATTTGTAAGTTATTTAGCCGATATCTTTGAAAAACTAAATATATTAAAGAAACAAATTCAAGGAACAAATGGCCGAATTTACTACCGTTTATCGGTAGCTTCACAAATTCAACTTTAGTATAAACGGTAGTTTCACAAATTCACATTTAGGAAAAACTGTAGTTTCACAAAATACTTTTTCTTAGAATTTTATTTTTGTATCCCTTAAGAAACGATAAATACATGTTTTTGTGTTGATTTTTTAATATAATTTTTAATTTTTCACAAATTATGTCTAAATTTTCACAAAATAGGTACCTCTCAGAAAAACCTAGACAGACCCCTGATATGTTACTAGGGGGACATAAGAATTTTAGAAAGGCTTAGGTGGGGCATGGCACAAAAAAGGTTGGGAAACACTGATATAGAGTTTAATTAAGTGTACTTTTGAATTACTGTATGTCGTAGTTGACTAATTCGCAGCAAATCAAATTTATTAATACAATAATGTACGTTTAAACAGAACTTCTGTTATACACTTAAAATTTCTTTTCCCACAAAGCTGATAGAGCATATGTATTGTAGTTCAAATTTGAATGTTTATCTTTCTTATAATTCTTTCCGATACAATAAATTTTGATTCCAAATTTTCGAAAAGCAGTAGATTATCAATTGCGACCGTAGATTGGAAAATTTATAAGTGAAGAGATATAGCTGAGCCCTATGTCGCTTAAAGAATGGTGGTTGCTGTAAACGGTGGAATGTTTAGATAGGATTATTGTTACATTTCTGGTGGTTTGAAATATTTTTGGATGTGTTACCCGGTTGAACACTGCTCCAGAAAGGGTTAATTGAAAGTATATAAGTCTGTATACGCAAAAACTGCACGACGTACTAATTTTAATTAACTGTATTTAGTACCGAAAACTTTGATCGTGGTTACCATTTAGCTAAGAAAAATTCAATAGTGGTAACAAAAAGGAGACATACCTTGATTATTTAATAAATTTGTGACAATCGATATACGTTTCAATGATTTAATGTAATAGTATTTAGCGAGGTACCTGCCTTGCGTCACTTGCCTCGTCATCGAAAAATATTTGCCTATAGGCAACGGTGGAATGATATTGAGAAATATACTTGTAAATAATAAAATGAATGATATGTACTAAAAAAAAAATTCGATGAATAATGAATATAATATACAGGTACGAAAACGAGAAGTTCGAATGATATACATTAAATATTTACATGATCGAAAAAGGAGTAGTATTTACATATTTACAATAAGGATCGAATATATCGCTTTATGTTGCTTTTTGAGGAAAACATATGTGCCTTATCTGTAAACAGTAAAGTAGCATCTTGAAAATGGAATTTTAGTGCTAATATGAATTTACTAACACTGCTACAGTTCCAAAAAAATAAATAAATCAGAACACTATGGGTAGTTGTGTTGTATTTAAAATGGTGGGAAAATTAAAATTTAAACATTTTGTTATCTTCAGGGATAAATTGATTCTCACTTTTTAATTCCACGGTCCTTTTTTGTTATGTATTCCTTTTCAAAAATGCAAAAATATTTTATTTTTAGCGTGAGCAGAAAGATGTAGCTTTCTTTTCACACATCTTTTTAAAAATTATTATGATTTGTAGAATGTGTGTTGCATAAATGCATCATTAAACTGAAAAAAAAATATGCCTAAGGATACGTTTTCTAACTAGATGATTGACTAGGGATGCAACATTTACCCAGAGTTATAACAAATGATTCCTGAAATGAAAGTATATGTATCTATATTTTGTTCTCAAAAATATTTATTCTGAAATAAAACATTTTTTTTACGTTTTTATTCTAAGTTTTTATAGTTCTCAGAGGAAATATAAAACTTTGAATGAATGCGTGAATCTCAAAAGGGTAAGACCAATGCTGACGTTCAAATTTTTTTTTCTTTCAGCTAAAAAGCGATTTTGAAATAAAATCCATGTTTTTTTTTCTGATCCTCCCCGTCGAAAAAAAACTCCAAAAAACGGGAGGAAGATTATTTCAATAAATAAGAAAAAAAATCTGAAGTAAGGGGTCGAATATTTTTTTATTTATTTCATTCTAACGAATTTCAGTTATTGAAAATACTCGTTTTTAAATAGTTAGGTACAAGCAAAGAATACCACATACTAGACAGTAATTAAATTGAAAGAAATAATAATAAATATTAAAATATTAATTGTAATAAATAATTAATATATTAATTGTAGCAATTGATAAATTAATTTAATAAGTAGTTAATCGCTTAATAATTAATATTAATAAACACTAAAACAATTTTAATATTTTTTTTTATTGAAACATGAGTTGACCTATACTTTTTAATATATAATGAACCGATACGGGCACAGTCTAGAGGTGTAGTAAAAATTACAAACACGATAGTATATTTTTGCACTCTATATCGAAAAAAATTCTAGCTCTGTAACTTTTACTAATGTGCGTCGATATAAGCTCATTATACTTAGTTTCATAAATCTAACATGTGTATTCCCGTAATTTAATGTTTTTTTTTAAAAAAAAGTCTACTTGTTCTTTTAAATTTTAACTTAAAGTCTTTTTAAATGAAATTTAACAAAAAGTGTGGAGTATTTTGTATTTAATAAAAAGCATGTAATTGATATAATGAAAAATTGGCACTTTTCACAATCTGGTTCATTTTTTAAGTAGTTTTAGAAGATTACCTAAACCTTGCATTGCTATTAATAAATACTGTTATATTTTAAACATGAAATTAAACTATTAAATAAAAACGCTTATTTTTATTCGTTAAAATTTTATATTTATCAATTATTATTTTCCAAAATCTTTAAGGATTTATTACTGAGCAAATTTTGTGCTAGTTTTCTTATAAATTAGTAATTGAAAATAATCAACTAAAACTTGCATCAGTTTTAATATAAAACTGTGTTATGTTTTTAAACATGTAACCCAGACATAAGTAAAAAATGCTTTTTTTTTCATTAACATTTTTTATTTATTAATTACTCATTCAAAAGATGCTTAAAGATTCATTACATAACCAGGTTTGAGGTAGTTTTAATAAAAGAATCCTTAAAAACAACCAACTGAACAATTTTGTTCAGATTTTGTATTTATCAATCACTCCTTCCTAAGATACTAAAGGATTTATTACACAACAGGGTTTGAGAAAATATTTATAAAATAATCTATAAAAATAACCGAGTGAAATTTGCATCAGTATTAATAAAAACTGTTAGGTTTTAAACATGAAACCCAGACATTAGTTAAAAATGATTTATTTTTATTCGTTTGCATCAGTATTAATTTATAAATTTGCACGAACTGAAATTTGCATCAGTATTAATAAAAACTTTTGGGTTTTAAATATTAGACCCAGACATTGGTTAAAAATCCTTTTTTATATGACGGCATATTAATTTCTCCTTTATAAAATAATTCTTATCAGAATGCATTAGTGTCAAATATTTTCTATTAAAAAAGTAAAAGGCTAACTAATAAAAATAGGATAAAATATACAGTGAATATAGTTCTGCCAATATGATTTTATCAGCAAGGTTTAAGTAATGGAAAATCAATTTTCATATACCCTTCCAAGAGAAAAAGGAGAAAATTTTTTTTCCTTCCTTATACTTTTATTTTGTGGTGGGAACCTGAGAAAAATTGATTTGACCAGTGGTTTTCGCAACAAAATGCGAAAGAAGAAAGGGGAAAAATTCATTGGAACTGTTGCCAAGAGCAATAACTTCCGTCGAAAAAAAAAAAAAGAATAAATGTTACCCAAAGTTGCCCTGAGGTCTGAGGGTGAAAAGCAAATAATGTATATCAAAAAAGAAGAAAAGGTATAGCAGAAAGAAAATATATATTGGATGGAGAAATTTCCAGACACCTGTAACGCTACACTTATTTGCAGCTATTTCTTCCAAGATATTGTTACTAATAATTGAAAACGAAAGATAAACTGGCTGCAACTTTTTTGTTTTTTATTTATTCGTTATTGCTGAATTAATATAATATCAATTTTCTCCAAAAATGAATCATCACTCTCAGAATTAATCTGTTATGCATAAATCGAAGAATAACATAGGTGTTTGGTTGCAAGAACAAAAAAGTTGTTGGAATACAACTAGATATTATTTTCATATTTTTTTATTACATGGATAGGGTTAAAAAGTAAAGGATTTAATATATTGGGATGTATTGGCCTAACTTTATGTGGTAGATGATGATGAGTGAGTATTGGGTAATAATCATATGCTGATATATATATATATATATAGCATCTTGAAAATGGAATTTTANTCCCCTTTCATGGAGGCCTCCCTGACTACCGGTGATATTGTGATTTATAAAAAAATATGTATATATATATATATATATATTGGGAACAAAATTATTCTAAATTATATAAAATAGAACTAATATTTTCTTTCCAGTTTAACCCTTTCTAAGGCCGTGGTAAGTATACTTATCACCACTTTTTAAAGTCCTTGGTGAATTTTTTTACCACTTTTAATTTCGGTTTCCATTTGTTAATCACTTCAGCTTTCTTGAAGTGCGTTTGAATAAAAGTGGTAACCATTTATTAGTTTAAAAAAACGTATATAAATTATAAAATACATAACTCCTTTTGAAGTTTGTATTGTAGCATTTATAACGTTTATTTTATAAATAACGAAAAATAAAAGTCAATAAGTTCCTAATAGGTCGTGGTAAATATATTTTTCACCAAAAAAATGACATTAAATTTTAGATTAATTTTTTATTAGGTAAATGAGTTTATTTTCTTACAGCAGTTACTATTCTTATATCAATTTCAATTCCAAAAATACTTTACCTTTACTAAAAATAAATGACCCATTAAAGAGTTAAATAGAAAGCGATAGTTACTCTGCATTTCAAAGAATTAATTCATTTTTATTATAAATAATGTATATCAAAAAGAAAAGTTAGATGAAAAAAGTATATATATGGGGCTGAGAAATTTCCAGACATCTCCGTTGCACTTATTTGCATGGTATACTTAAATGGACAAAGTATACTTTGGGCTATGTGTGAATAAAACAAAATCAACAAGAACAAATAAAGGTAAAGAAACAGACTTACTACGGTTTCGGTTCTATGAACAAGAACCCTCTTCAGTGTTTAAACATTTTGTTTAGTTGATAATGCATATTAACCACACGGACAATTTCTACCTGGAAGAGGTGTCACAAAGGGTGAAAGCGATGGCATGTAGGTAGAAAGAGGTGTCACATAGGGAGAAAGAGATAGTACGTAGGGAGAAAGAGGTGTCACATAGGGTGAAAGAGATGGCATGTAGGTAGAAAGAGGTGTCACATAGGACGAAAGAGATGGCACGTAGGGAGAAAGAGGTGTCACATAGGGTGAAATAGTTTAGAATTATAGAGGCCATCTTCAGCTCTTACATCATACTCGAAATCCTCCATAGAAAAAAAACGAGTTTTTCGTGTGTTTTAAATGATATGAAGTATGCAAAATAAATGTCTACAAGCGCTGTTTAGTGTTATATTGCATTATCCAAATAACTGTCGGTAAAATATGATTTTGTTATTACTTAAAAAGGTTTTACGAATAAAAAAAATTTGGGGTTTACAGTACAATTTACGGGTTTGAGAGTATTGACACGGAAAGTGAAATAGTCAACATTCTACAAGTATCTTCGTTGCATGAGAACATAAGCAAGGAGCCCACACTATCGTATAAATTCTAACTTCTTGATAAAATTTATTCTTGTTTAAAGAACGGAATTAAAGAAGAAGATTAAAACAAATAAGAGAATATATATTTATTATGTAGAAGTGGATAAAGTCTAAAAATGATTAAGTTTATAGTAGCCTTAAGATAGATAGTTAAAATGAGCATTTTGACAGGAAATCAAAACTCTAATTAAAATAGCTTTAAGTCTCATATATTGATAAAAACGAAAGAAATTAACATAAAACAGCACTTTTTGATGGAAAAAAAATAACAAAATCTTAGCCTAATATCAAAAAGAGAAGGGTTGGTTAAATAATAATGCGTGGGTTTATGACAGATGCAGAAAATGTGTAGGTTTCAATTTGTTAGTTTTCTAATATAAAACTTTTTATAAGACGCAAAATTTAAATGAAATCATGAATGCTTTTAATATAATTTTTTTACCTATTATATTAATTAAAGAAAATACTTTACTTTTTTTTAATAGATATATCTTACTTTTGCAGTAGTTTTTCAAGCTTTTTTGCTTCAGATTTATTCAAATTATCTTCTTTTAATAATAGCTCCACTTCTTTGACCATAGCATTCTAAGGGTTGAAGAACTTTCTGAATATTAAACAATCCACCAATTTAAGAAATATCAGTATTTAATCCTTATTTGTTTTTAGTGTATAATCGAATTTTATTTATAATGATTTTTATTTATGATGAATCCAATCAGGTAATATATTTTTAAAATAAAATGTATTCGCCAAATTATTTTCATAAGAGCAAACGAAAATGCATCATTTGTCATACTCCGAATGCTTAGCTTGCTTTAAATATTATATTAAAAATTTGTTTTTTTTTTTTATAACTTCAGTGATAGCTAACACATAGTATTTTCACTCAGAAAAATTTGAACGTAAATGTACTGCATAAAGTCATTTTTCTAATTATTGCAAAATATGAAACCGAGATATCTACTCATAGCTGCCAACTTGTACGGCCGTTGAGAAATAAATTTCTTGGTGGTAGCAATACTACCGTTTTGGCGAATTAAATCTTGGAATTTAAAATTTCAAAAAAAAAATTTTTTTTTAACTACCACGACAAAACTATAATTTAAAAAATGATATGTATTAAATTTATCATTTTGGAACCATTTGCCCATAGATCTCTTATTAGTTTTGTTTTAAGGAAATTCTTCCTTACCTCATTGTTTTACTTCTGCTTAGTAAAATCTTTTCAATGAACGTACAAGTTGGCAGGTTTGTGTACTTAACGCTTTATATTTTAGAATTGCAATGATATGTCAAATACAAAAATAAATACAGTAGTGAGTCATTAATCCGTTTGTGTCTAGCATTTTTTAAAAAGATAATTACTTTTTTTCAGAAAAGGAAAAAGCAATAGCACAAGTGGTATATTACTAAGATTAAATTTGTTATAACAAAAATAACTCTGTCTACTACAATACATTAATAATATAAGCATTTATAATTGGATCCGAAACGAGGTAGTATATTACTTTTTTAAAGTTTAAGTGGTAGGTAACAGTAATGTATAACCACGATATACCATAGACATAAGTACTACACATTTTTTTCAGTTGGTAGTTTTTCATATATATACCGCTTTTTGTGCCTGAGCATAAATGGGTTTAAGTTTAATTATCTTAACTATTTTCTCATGTTAACTAGCACTTTATATTTATTAAAATAATAATATATTTTTAGATTTAAATTATGTGTTTTATATTACTAGACGAATAGCTGGAAGTTAACTACAAAATAGAGATAATTATTCAAGACGAGATCTTACGGGCCAAAACTATTCATGAAATGACCATAATAGAAAAGGTAGAACAGTTCAAACTAGACAATTTTCTTAAGTGACTTTAAATGTAGATAATTTTAAAAGATAGAGTAAAAGACAAAGTTTTAAAAGAGTCAAAATCATTCTGGAAATGTCGAAATCAGTAATTTCTTACAATATTCTTATTATTTCTCTAACAAAATTCCTAAATCCTTTAAATTAGGAAAACTCCAGGTTTGGGCTTAAGTGAATCTGAAGTAGATGTGCAAAATCTCTGAGTGGAATATTTGCCTCACTTTTCTGACATAATAAAGCTATTATCTCAAGGAAAATCACAATAGAGCTTCCCAATATCTCGATATATAGGGCCCTAAAAATTGTGCAAGAATACAGAGAGCCGCTTAATTTACAACTGTCCACAAGAGTATCCGCATAATTTTTATTTTTCATCAGAATTTCGATAAGATAACTAGACAAACTTGCTTTTACAGTTTTTTCTCATACAATTTCACCTTCTTTTTCAATTTTAAGAATCCTTTTAGCAATTTATCTCTAAAAATATACCATAATTGGAATTATTTTTTATTATCAATTATTGAAATGTCATATTACCACAATGCCATACCATACACTAAGGAGCCCCCAAGGACAAGTTAGTTCGTAAGAACAATTAAACCGGTTGCCTAGGCAGCTGATATTTTAAAATCAGTTTTATAAAATAAAATTATAATAATCCTGAGCTTTGGATAGAATTATACTGCAATTTTTTAAAGAAATATTTCTCTTACAATATTTCGTGTTTTAATAGTCACCATTCAATTTTTTAACATCCTGTAACCAAAAGGGTCTTAAAGTAATTGCTGTTAAAACTTATTTTAAAAATGCTTTTAAAGAAAATATGAATTCATAAACAGTAAAATATTTACTCTCTTTTTGTAAACATCATTTGTTTTATCTTTGGCTTGTTGAACAAGAAAATTATGATATTTCTCAAGCTCTTCATCATTGGCTATAACATAACCTTTGCCTGATACGAGATTATGACGGAACAGCTCTCCGTACAATGAATTGCTGAGGAGATGAATTTTAGACATAGGTGGGCTTTACTTCTTCGATTCTAATTTTATACAAATTTCTCGATCTGTATATTTAGAGACAAACCTAAAAAAACATTATAAAATAAATTATATTAATTCTAACTTCATAGAAGAGTTCATTTACAATTTTAGTTCGATGCTATCCAATTTGACAACTTCTGAATATAATAGTATTATTAACACTAGGTTTATGGGAAGCGTCATTTTGACGCATTTCGAATTTTATAAGGGAAATTAGAAAACCCGTTTGCATTTTTATTGAATCCATTGATCGAGGTAAATATATATTGAAGTCAATTTCCTTCAAAAGCGTTAAAATATTGAAATTCTCTTTGTGGTTTTAGATGCGATCATAATTTAGACAAAATTTTAAGTAAACATGCAAACATCACATCAATAATAAATAGGAATGTACCGACAATACTTCGATCCGTTATCCGATATCGTTATCTCAAATGAAACAAGCGACAAACAATTGTGGCCGATAAGCAATAACAGAAAGAACAAACGCAGAATGTCAATTGATGTCAGATATTGAAGGCTTTAGTTGCTTAGTTCGAGTATTGAAAAATAAAATAGCAAAATATTTCATAAATATATATCTCCTATTTAAATTTTTTTTTCTTAAAGTATATAATCACATTGCTTTCTAAGTGCAGAGATGCCAACTGCTCCGGGCACGCCAAAATAATAAAAAAAAAATGGTAAATAACTACTAAGTAAATTTTGCTTCAATAAAGTGGTGAATTATATAAGCCTACGAATTATTTACAAATAATGGTGGGTAAAAATCCACTAAATTGAATTTATTAAACCTAGAATCGCAATTGATAAACTACCTCTTTAAAATATACATTTGCTGCCTGGAGCAAGTTGGCATCTCTGAAGTCCTGTTATATGTATTCGTTCATGCCTCAAATTGACGCGTGTTCGTAGAAATAGGTATATAAGAAACGTCCGTAAACCTAGTGTTAAGTATATTTTATATTAAGTATTTGACTTGGATAAGTATTTCGTTTATACATCGTTACCTAACTATAACGCATGTTTAAAACATTATTATCTAAGAATATTATTATGTAGTACTATGTTTAGTTTACGTTTAAACAAATTGCACGCAAACTAAACTTGAGATGAAAAAAAAAATAGAAATGTCTGATAATAAAAACAAAAACATCTTCACACTATCTGGCCAAAAATTATCCGACACCCAGTTGTAAGGTACGGGAGAGTCTTTAAATTTATATTAATATAGGGTTGTGTGTGTGTACCACGGGCGACCAAAAACTCAAACTATGGTGTCTAATCAAATTCAAAATTTTATTAAAAAAATATTAAAATGAGCAACTTTTTCTAGCATATTTTTATCAGTTTATTATTATAAGGGAATACAAAAACTTTTGGCTTAATATGAGGTTATTCAGATTACCTGTTCACGAAGCGAACACTTCATTCTTTCATCTGGGTTGAGTCCTAGGTCGACTTGGACAAAATGGCATAATAAGCAGAACTCTACGATTCCTCTATGGATCTCGAAGAATTAAAAGATCTAAGAGAGAAGTTTGGAACACTGATGATGGAGAAAAGAAACAAACTTCAAGCAGATTACTTCACTAAGGTGTACAATAGAGCCTCCCGAGTAATCGCAGACTTAATGCTTGGCTGTAAAAAGCCAAAGGAGCCCGCTCCCATCACAACATCTGA